ATAGAACGTTGGTTACGTACTGTAACCCCAGATTCTATGAATATAGGCGTAGCCCTTTAAGCGTCGGGCCTCACTGGCTCCTAAATGGCTGAAGAAAAAAGCTATTTTGGGAGCCGATTTCCCGCTCTTAACGTAATTTATACGGACCGGGTGGGGCCCACACAGCAGGTGGGCGTGGACTAATTTTTTTTCAGTGCTTATGCTCTGCATAACGGGATAAACCCATCAGCGACAGCCTTAAAGGGCTACGCCTATATTCATAGAATCTGGGGTTACAGTACGTAACCAACGATTTTAATACTCTATTACCATGTACTCATATTATGCTTTATCAGACTTTGCATGAGAAGTCATGCAGAAACATATTTTTGTTAATGAGCATCCAGAAGTTAGTTCTCTTGGAGAGTTGAAATATATTTATTTAATTAAAATTCAAATTAATTAAAAACACATTCACTGAATCTGTTTATTTTTTTTTACTTTAAAATGATGCAGCAGGATTTATGAATATTAACTTGTTTCAGACAGAAGATCTGATTGTAAAGATTTTGAATGTCAGTTCATCTTCTGCTGCTTCCTGTAATAAAAATATAGTTCACTGTTATCTCAAGGGACCAATAAATGGTTTAATTAATCTGTCAGGATTTCTGTCTGGCTGTCAGTCAGATGCTCACCTTCCAGCGATAAACACTGATGGAAAACTGATTTATAAATGTAATATTTAGTCAGAGCAGAGAAAAGGATAATGAGGAAGCAACAAAGAGCCACAGAAACTGAAGCACTTGAAACTCTCACAAGCTTTGACTTTTGTTTCATGAGGTTTTTTTTATTTTTTTACATTTTTTTTATCAATTGAGTCCATTTTTCACCTCAGTCTGGTCACATTGTACTTCCTGTCCTCTTAAATACCATAGATGTCTCAGTTTTGCTGCTCATTGTCCAACTCAGCTGTTGTCATGTTCACGCCTCGTTTTGAACTTACAGATAAGGCTGGCATAGTTTATTTCCTGCCTGTCTGCTTTTGGATCCTTTCATTCTACAAAACATGACAGAAACAAAACTGTCATTTCATGTCCCAAAGCAAACAATTCACTCACCTAAAGACATGTAATAAAAAAATAAAAAATCCATAAACAATTGGGCTAATGAACTTTTTCTTCCTTCGCAAACCTTAAATTAATTCCAAACAAGTAATAATGTTTTGGTTTTTCATCCACTGTAAATTTTATAATCATTATATGAAATAGGGCAGCATGGTGGCACAACTGGTAGAGCTGCTGCCTCTCAGCGAACAGGTCCCTGGTTCAAACCCCGGTCCAGGGGCCCTCTGGGTGGAGTTTGCATGTTCTCTCCGTGCATGCGTGGGTTTTCTCCGGGTACTCCGGTTTCCTCCCACAGACCAAAAACATGCATGTTAGGCTGACTGGTAACTCTAAATTGTCCCTAGGTGTGAGTGAGAGAGTGAATGGTTGTTTGTCTTGTTTGTTTGTCTCTATGTGGCCCTGTGATGGACTTGCGACCTGTCCAGGGTGTACCCCGCCCCTCGCACAGTGATTGCTGGACAGGGGCACCAGTGACCCCCGTGACCCAAAATGGAAAAAACGGGTAAAGATAATGGATGGATGGATGGATGGGTGGCACAACTGGGAGAGCTGCTGCCTCTCAGCAATCAGGTTACCCTGGTTCAAATCCTGGTCTGGAGCCTTTCTGGGTAGAGTTTGAATGTTCTCTCTGTGCATGCGTGGGTTTTCTCCGGGTACTCTTGTTTCCTCCCACAGACCAAAAACATGCATGTTAGACTGATTGGTAACTCTAAATTGTCTCTTAGTGAGTGTGTGATAGGTTGTTTGTCTCTTTGTGTCCCTGTGATGGACTGGAGACCTGTCCAGGGTGTCCCCCACCTCTCGCACAGTGATGGCTGGATATGGGCACCAGTGACCCCCATGACCCAAAATGGAAGAAGCTGGTAACGATAATGGATGGATTATATGAAATAAAAACAAGGCAAATAAACTTTTTTTTTATTTTTTTTATTTACATTTTTTCCTTTTGGATGTTCTATCTATCTATCTGTCTATCTATCTGTCTGTCTGTCTGTCTGTCTGTCTGTCTGTCAAGGCCGTAAAACTCTACTGGATGCTCGTGATCTCTGGGCCCTTAAACGTCACTGCACCTCAAACAGGAATGCCACTGTCAAGAAAATAACAGAATGGGCTCAGTAATACTTCCAGAAAGCCTTGTCAGTGAACACATTCCACCGTGCCATCCGCCTTTGCCAGCTGAAACTCTACAGTGCAAAGAGGAAGCCATTTCTAAGCAAGCTCCACAAGCTCAGACGTTTGCACTTGGCCAGGGGTCATTTAAAATGTAGTGAGGCAAAATGGAAGACTGTTCTGTGGTCAGATGAGTCACAATTTGAAGTTCTTTATGGAACACTGGGATGCCATGTCATCCGGACCAGAGAGGACAAGGATAGCCCAAGTTGTTATCAATGCTCCGTTCAGAAGCCTGCATCACTGATGGTATGGGGTTGCATGAGCGTTTGTGGCATGGGCAGCTTGCATGTCTGGAAAGGCACCATTAATGCAGAGAACTATGTTCAGGTTCTAGAACAACGTATGCTCCCATCTAGACGTCATCTCTTTCAGGTAAGACCCTGCATTTTTCAACACGATAATGGCAGACCACATTCTGCAGCAATCACAACATCATGGCTACGTAGGAGAAGGATCCGGGTACTGAAATGGCCAGCCTGCAGTCCAGATCTTTCACCTATAGAGAACATTTGGCGCATCATAAAGAGGAAGGTGCGACAAAGAAGGCCCAAGACGATTGAACAGTTAGAGGCCTGTATTAGACATGAATGGGAGAGCATTCCTATTTCTAAACTTGAGAAACTGGTCTCCTCTGTCCCCAGACGTCTGTTGAGTGTTGTAAGAAGAAGGGGGGATGCCACACAGTGGTAAAAATGGACTTGTCCCAACTTTTTGGGGATTTGTTGACGCCATGAAATTTGGAAACAACAGATTTTTCCCTTAAAATGATACATTCTCTCAGTTTAAACTTTTGATCTGTGATTTGTGTTCTATTCTGAATAAAATATTAGATGTTGGCACCTCCACATCATTACATTCAGTTTTTATTCACAATTTGTTTAGTGTCCCAAGTTTTTTGGAATCCGGTTTGTAGTAAAAGTGATTCAAATATAATGAAAATATGGTAAAATTCTCCAAACATCACTTGTTTACCAACAAAAACACAATTCTGTGCTTTTAATCTTGATAAACTAACATTTTTCCAAAGGAACTGATAACTTCTGTTTAATTTGTCATTCTATATGTTCTGCTTGACTGCTGCCTCTCAGTGAGCAGGTCCCTGGTTCAAACCCCGGTCCAGGGGCCTTTCTGGGTGGAGTTTGCATGTTCTCTCCGTGCATGCGTGGGTTTTCTCCGGGTACTCCGGTTTCCTCCCACAGTCCAAAAACATGCATGTTAGGCTGATTGGTAACTCTAAATTGTCCCTAGGTGTGAGTGAGAGAGTGAATGTTTGTTTGTCTCTATGTGGCTCTGTGATGGACTTGCGACCCGTCCAGGGTGTACCCCGCCCCTCGCACAGTGATTGCTGGACATGGGCACCAGCGACCCCCGTGACCCAAAATGGAATAAGCGGGTAAAGAAAATGGATGGATGGATGGATGGAGGTTCTGCTTGAATTGACAACATGCATTGCATCAAAACTTTCTGTCTCCCAAAGCACAAAACTTGTTCTTTAGGCATTGTGGGTAATTTATCATTGTCTTGTTAAATGAAGCAAACCGACCCAGTGTTGGCGCACTTGGATTAAAGCCACTAAGAAAACTTATGAAAAGTGCTGAGGATAAAGTTATAAAACTTTATCTTAACCCCTTTTTGAGCCATTGCGGTGATAATAGTGTTTCCTGTCTTCCAGGTGCGCAGCGTGAGTTCAGTGGTGAACCGTCGCAGAGAGCAGCGGGTGTTGGTGATGGTCGTCGTCATGGTGATGTGCTACCTCGGCTGCTGGCTGCCGTACGGAGTGGCAGCTCTGCTCGCCACCTTCGGGCCGCCTGACCTGCTGACCCCCGAGGCGAGCATCACGCCGTCACTTCTGGCCAAGTGCTCCACCATCATCAACCCTTTTATTTACATATTCATGAACAAACAGGTGAGACGTGAATATTGGCCTCATAGTGTTGTTGCATCTTTAAAACCACTTTTCTTCTGACCTGTCTGTCTTTATGAACATTCTGAACAAATATTGAGTGAGGGAGATGATGACCATTTTCAAGACCACTTCTTTATGTTTGACTATCAGGTTCTGAGAACGAATGGATGTTTTTTTTTTATATATATTGTGCTCCCCAGCCTGATCTGATTTAAACCTTTGTCCCTGTCTGTCTCCATTATCCTCTCAAAGATAAACAGCTTCTGCAGTTTCAAACCCATCATCATCTTGGTGATTTCGTACATTTTATTTATGGTTTTAAGATCTATTTCTGAAAAAAAAATGTTTTAATTTCAGTTACATTATTAAATTTTCGACATGTGGTTTAAAAGAGAGATGTGCATCAACCAAAATTCTCAAGTATTTGTAAGAATCCACAAACTCAATAGGAACACCATGCATGGATGAGATAGGAGGAAGAGTTGCTGGCACAAACATTTGTTTGAAAACATCATCCCTTTGGTTTTATCAACATTTAGCACCAGTTTGAGGTTGAATTTGTCTGACTAAATGATGTCACATGCAGACTGTAGAAGCTGGAAAACCTTGGCAACTGTGTTAGATCGGCAGTAAACAATTGTATTGTCGGCATAGAGATGCAAAGAGGCGTCAGGAATGTTTTGACCTACATTATTTATATAAATTGTAAAAAGAGTGGGTCCTAAAACTGAGCCTTGTGGGACACCATTGGTGACCATTAGGTAACTAGATGAAATACTGTTCTGTCGAACACATTGCCTCCGACCTGATAGAGAGTTGGAGAACCAACGAACAGTGTCATCTGAGAAGCCAGTATCTGAAAGCTTGTGGCATAAGATGTAATGATCTACTGTATCAAAGGCTTTGGACAGGTCTAAGTAAAGCAAAGTAAAAAAATTAATTGGGTGCAGCAAAATCTCATACCTACTATGTTGAGATATCGCTCTTTCACCCGCAAGCCCCCCCTAGATTTTGTGATCATTGTCTCATTCTTCACAGAAGTCAGATCTTTGATTTTCATTGACATGTTGGTGTGCAGTTAGTAATTTTTCTAAATGAATTATAAATGAACATTCATGGATTTTTAATGCGGGACTGCAGAAACTGGAAAACAATGCTGCTGCATCAGTCATTTTCCTGAAGATACTTTAAACAACGCTTAATCATTGCAACTAATTAAGAATTCCTTAGATAGAGAACTTTACTAATTGGCATTTATGTATGTGAATGTTTCTGTAAAGTGCCCTGAGACAACTTTGTTGTGATTTAGTGCTATATAAATCAAATGAATTGAATACTAACATTGAAATGAGCAGCTTATGAGTAAGTGAAACTCTGATAAAAAGTCTGCATGGTTGAGCAGTTTATCCTTTTTTTGTTTGTTTGTTTGTTTTCTTCCCATTCAAACCAACTTGTTGAGTTGTGAGGGCTGCAGAGTTAGGACTTAGTAGCAGACTGCACTGAGTGTAGCAACATAGTTTGCTTTAAGGGTTAATTATCAAAGTTTTACTCGCTGTGTTTGCTAAGTAAAGTGTTCACAGAGCAGCTTCTGACTCACAGTAGAGTTTAATGTTCAGTGCTTGTCGAAAATAAACCAAGACAGCAGCAGAATATTTAGTCAACTAATTACTGTTAATTCCATTAACTAAGTGTCTAAAGGCCATGAAGGAAACTTTAATGACTTGTTAATAAGCTCAATGGAAGCCTGGGACAAACATTATCTGAAGGTGTTTGATGATGCTCAAAGGATGGATGTCACAAGCATTTCAAACTTTAATGGGTCAGACACATTTTAATGTTCCTGTGAGCAAATAAACATGTTTTAATTGATGTTGTTTCCCTCTTTACAGGTCTATAAGTTATATAAATAGATTAAAGTAAGTTTTAGGCTAAAAAGCTTTTGATTCCAAACATATTAGTGTTCTAAGAAAAGATGAAGCACCTTAGAGTCCTCTGTTCTTTGCCCACCAGCTGATTGGGTCTAATTACCCGACACTAAGGCCAGTAATCGAGGCTTTCTGTGATTTACACCCAGTCGGAGCAACAAGATGACACTATTTCTGTCTGTTGGCTCTTCATTTGCACCTTCGGAGAGAACACACATGATCCAACCCCTGTGCCTTCACTACCCCCTGCACGGCTGCACATCAATGAAGTTCAAGGACACAGAAAAGACAAGATAAAGAAAGAAGCAATTTGCTTTCCAACCTTGCCTGCTTTACGGCAGAACAAATGTTGAAATGTTATCTGTGTGCGACATTTCACAACCAATAAATCCTCAGACACTCGTGAATCAAATGAAAACCGTAAAACATGAGCAGAACACGCAGAGACTTCAGTCTGTTGTAGATTTCAACCACAGAAAATTACAACTGAACCTTTAGTTCCTACTTTTTCCACATTTCTCTGTTTACTGGATAGAAATGATCAATAATATTATTTAATATAAAAGATTAAAAGAGATTTAAGCTTCAGCAATAAATAAATAATTATATAGCTCCAAGTCACAACAGAAGTCGTCTCAGGGCACTGAACAAAAACATTCGTATTTAAAAATGATAATTTAACATTATTTATCTGAGGAGCAGACTGCTTTGAGTTTAACTCCATCGCAGAACTCTCATCTTGAGCAAGCATGAAGGCGACAGTGGAAAGGAAAACCTCCCTCACGAGGAAGAAACCTTTATCAGAACCAGGTTCAGGACAAGTGGCCATCTGCTTTGACCGGCTGGGCTTAACACAATGGCAGGTCAAGAATCACGTTAAGATAGAAATAGTATCAAATGAACACTATTCAATTTTAACAATTCATTTAAGGAAATGAGGTCAATTTGCCCTCTAGTAGTCTAAGCCTATAGCAGCATAACAAGCCAAACTTAACTATAGGATTTATCAAAAAGGAAAGTCTTAGGCCCAGTCTTAAAACTGGATAATGTGTCAGCCACACAGACAGAAACTGGAAGTTGTTTCCACAAGAGAGGAGCCTGAACTGAAAGATCTTCCTCCCATTCTGCTCTTGGAAACTCTTGGAAACTCTAGGAACCGCGAGCAAACCTGCAGTCTGAGAGCAAAGTGCTCTGTTAGGAAAATATGGAACAATAAGATCTTGAATATAAGATGGAGCTAGGTTGTTGAGGGCTTTGTAGGTTAGAAGTAGGATTTTGAATTCTATTCTGGATTCAACAGGGAAACAATGGCGAGAAACTAAAACTGGAGAGATAAGATCTCTCCTACTAACTCCAGTTAAGACTCTGGCAGCAGCATTTTGGATTAACTGAAGACTTTTTAAAGAAGTATTTGGACACCCAGATACTAAACCGTTGTAATAGTCCAGTCTAGACGTGACAAATGCATGGACCAGTTTTTCTGCATCATTTTTAGATAAGATGTTTCTAATTTTAGTGATATTACGCAGGTGGAAGAAGGCAGTTCTAGTAACATTTTTAATGTGGGGGGATAAAAGACATGTCCTGATAAAAAAAAACCACCAAGATTTTTAACATTAGAACTGGAGGCCAGATTAATGCCATCCAAGGAGGGCAAAATTGCGCCGCTCGGGGTGGCTGCATGTTGAAGTAGCTCTATTACTTTCATTCTGAGTTATTGCTTTTGAAAACTTTAATTCCTCTTTTTTCTGGATGTAAATCGCTTTTTTCAGATAATTATTTCCTCAGGTATCAGATGCTATGCAGCTGGAAGGATTTTTACTTAAAGCTTTTTACTTTTGGGCTTTTGTTATGATGCGTAACCATGGCAACAATGTATTTTTTTAACAACCAGGAGCAGCTGATTAACATCTCAAAAGCTCAAATACTTCAACTACAGCTCCAAATCCCAAATGAGCTGAAAAGGAGGCGCCATATATGAATTCCCGTCAACCTGGTGGAGGTACTCGAGTACCTGACCACCAAGATCATGGAGAAGGTGGGAAACTCTGCTCATGACAAAGGGAGGACCAGGATCACCTTCAGCTGTCTGTCCGTGGTGACAAGGAGCTTTCGGGCAGTCCTGCTGCCCAGGAGGGCAGAGAGGCCCGCCAGATCTGACATCAAGCTGGATCCAGGTGGACGGATCAGTATCTGTGGCCAGATTCTTCAGATTCGCTGCAGGAGATCCTTCCTGCCCACAGCTGTCAGCATCCATAGCAACTCTTGAATGAAACCAGGATGATGAGCTAAAACAACAACACTTAATTTCCTTTTGGGATTAAAGTATTTTTGAATTTGAATTGAAAAGACAAAAAAATTAATTCCCAAGATTTAAAATAAAAATTTAAAATTTAGTTCTCAGTCTACTGTCCATATGATACAAATTCAATTTTCTGGCAGTTTTAAAATGTTTTTTAAAATTAGTTTTGTGGTACTGAACTGCTTTGTGACCAATAAATTGTTGTTTTTTAGTTCGGATGAGGTTCAGATTGATTTGGGACTAAAATTCCTAAATAACTTTGAGACTCTGAACTCATTTTAAGCAACTTTTTTTTATATTTCTCGTCTCAGTTTAAGCCCAAAACTGAGTCATAAATTGGATTTTACTATTTAAATTTTTATAAAATTTCAGTTTCCATGAGCACAAATGGAATTAATTACACTGTCTATTTTTAACTAATTTTGTTTTTGTTAGGTTTTAGACTTTTTATTGCTGATTTGTTTGACCTCAAACTTTTTCTCCCTTTATTTCATTAAAACGTTAATTTTTACAACATCAGCCTATTAGCAAGTACTTTGTTGCTCAGTTTTGACACAACTTCCGCAACCTTGAAAGGACACAAATTCAAAAATATAATGAGTTATTTGTAGTTATAGAACAAAGTAAAAAAAAAAGATGGAGTTTACACAAGTTGTTTTGGTGCTTTTGTGGACAACTTCATTGAAGCGGTTCAAAAATAAAATGATCTTCTGTGTGATAGCACACATTTTAATGAACAGAAACACCGAGATGTAGTCAAAAATATGCATGCT